TGTGCACCGAGAAATCCCGAGACTTAGAACTCGTTTTTGGATCTCCAAAAACCCTCTCTTTTCTGCCAAAAGTCGGCTCTCTTTCGTCTCTCCCGAGTTAGGGTTTTTAATCTCCTTCTTATAAAGTGATTTTACCCTAATTTCGGTTTAATTTTCGGAAAACCGGAACCCGGAACGGACGGTCCAGAAAAGCACTGGGACCGTCCGTTCCAGTGTGTAGAACGGACGGTCTGCCTAAAACGTGGACCGTCCGTTCCACCACGTAGAACGGACGGTCTGCGTGCTAATGTGGAACGTCCGTTCCAGTCTCCAGAACGGACGGACCACACGTCTGGACCGTAGGGTCTGGACCGTCCGTTCCGAACCTTTCGGTCCGTCCGGTCTGGACCCTTCCGCCTCGGTTTTCCGTCGTTTTCTCTCATGTATTCGTCCTTCCCTGTGTGTGTGACCCTGTAGGCTCATTCGACATAGCAGTATAACCTGAAATCCCTATTTCGGGTATACAAGTCATAGGCGGTCTCTAGCAAGACACTATGACTACCTATCTCGAATAGAGTTTGTTCGTGATCCTACGAACGCCAGTGATGATTCCGTTTGATGATCCTTTTGTATCACGATATCATATGCCGAACATAAGACATGGACAAGCCGCCTTATCTGATTCGACTGCTTTCTCGCTCATTGAGTTTGACTGTCTGAAATAGACGACGTTCGTCTATAGTGCGGCCACACATTTCTACAGTCTCGCTCACACGAGGGGCCCAGCGATATCTCTCTCTTTTACGAGAGGTACAAATCCCGTCTTGACTATCTACAATCCAGTACATGATTCGTTTCGTACCTGATACACGCCTTTATAGTCCTCCTGTTACGCAGGACGTTTGACGTAATCAAAGCACGCAACTCCTCATGTTGGATTCCGTAGATATCTCAGGTCTTAGGATCCAATCATGGAACCGTCATATGAGATTCTAGTCATGACTCTAGTCCATGTGACAATCTCATGCGGGTCATTCCAGTATTCCGTTCTCCAACGAATACCTATGATCGTGATCGTATCCAATACCTATGATCATCTATGTGATCATCAATCACACATCATACTAGTCTTATTATGTCGTTATTCCCATAACGACATAAGACTAGGGAGTTTAGTATCATTCATAATGATACATGGATTTCATGACATATTAAAGCATGCATAATACGTAATGAATCAAACACTAATCCATAAAACTATAGAAAGTGACAATACATCAAATGTATCATAATCATAGCTCATAAACAGTACATCATAGAGCACCAAACCAACATCTGGCTCTGATACCAAACTTCACGGGGTTAGATTCGCGATAGGAATCTTCCCGTGCGGCAGACTAGTTCCGATGCGGAAAAGGGAAGTTCCGGACAAACTTGGTTGCACTTGGGAACTTCGGGAGACTAGTCTAAGCCTTTGGGTTCCCTTAAGGAACGGATGAAAATGAGAAGGAGAGATGGGTGAAGCCTGTGGCGGCGAGTTTATTGATAAGGCAAAAGATACAACGGCCGACGGCGGTTCGGTACAAGGCGGACGACATGGCGACGGTTTGAAAGCCGAGGCGTGTGACCGGAGTTCCCAAGTGCAATTTGGGAGAAAATGAGGGGGAAACGAGATTGCCTCTCAACACAAATGACCAGCCTATTTATAGGAGAGGCTTAATAATCAAGTGTGGGAGAGTTCACAGAATTCGGCCCCTAATTGACTCAACACGTCCCTACTTTTCGGGAATAAAAACGGAAAAAGTGGTCGGCTCCTTCCACTGTCTCCCTTAGTGCCGCGATTTAAGGAATGTGTTGGGAAATATTCTCTTTATTGGTGGGTTTTGACCAATAGAGTGTTGGGACGTCCCTTGGCCGAATACATTGAACCTAGACAGACTAAACGGGCTTTGGCCCGAGTCCAAACCATGGGAATTGATCGGACACGTCCAAGAACTCGTCTTGGACCATGTCCAGGCCAAAAGGTAAGTCTCGGGACTTAGCAAATCTTCGGCCTTGGTTCGTCCATGGTCGCGACTTGGAATCTCTCCGGATCATGTGAGGATTGTTCGAGAGTCCGTCATTGGTCCGTGTCCCGCTTGAAAATGAGATTGAGTCTTTTGGCCGTGTGTCCCGTCCGTGTCTCGCAACTACAAAACCTGATAAACGCGAAAAAAACACAAGTAACGGGAAGGAGAAAAATTACCCCATTTTTTCCTGACAGTAACGCTCCAAATCCATTTAACATTTTGATGTAAGGTCGGATGGATGCACAAGACTCACAATGCTTGCACGCAGACGTGGCATGGTCCACGACATTCGGTTGGTATGTTAAATTCGATTTTCAATTTGACTCCGATTTAATCAGTCCAGAATGGAAGTAAATCAGTTTCGAAAAATATAATATAATTTAAAATTAAATCGAATGTCATTCATTTGATTTTAATTAAATTAAGAAACATTTATTAGGAAAATTTTAAACTTGGCTAGAACTTTGAGAATTTTATTAATTCTATCTTACAAATATTATAAAAATGGATATAAAAAATGAAATCGAAGGAAATTGAATATAACATGTAAGGATTGGATTCAAATTCATTATGGTTAACATTTTTTTTCGAAATTGAAAAAAAAAAGTATGGAATTAAACCGGACAAATTTTGTTAATTATGTTAAACCCCCTACTGCTGATCATGATGAATTCGCGTCCCATAGAAATAATAATTGTAAATCAATCCCTCAGGTTTCTTCTAATTCCAATAGTGCCCGATTCTTTCTTCCATTCCTCATTTTTTTTCATCTTTCTAATCGCGAAACGGTGTCTTCTTCTAATCCTTCTCTCTCGCTCTCCCTCAGTTCTCCGTCAAAAGTCTCTTGCCGTCGCGTTCCTACCTGGTAACTTGAGCTTTCTCTACTTCTTTCTCGTCTTTCTTCACCGTCTTTCTCTCTGTTCTCTGCAATTCTCGCGAGACGGAGGCGGAATCAAAAGCTTCCGGCGTCGCAATCTTCTGCTTCTGTTTCTGTTTTGATGTCTCGAGTTTAGGTCTTTGTTTCTCCTGCAATGCTATTCCTTTGAGATTTAGGGCTTTAGGGTGGGGTTTAGGTTCGGGAATGTGGCATTGCTTTCTTTTTTCCTTTTTCGTGAACGCTAAACTGAACTCTAGGTTTTTTTTTATCCTGCTTGGTTGTATCATTTGTGACGGTGGCTGACTTTTTATTTTTCCTTTTAAGACAAAGAATAAAAGAGAATCTGGGTCTGAAGATGGCTCGTGATATATCGGAGTCTCCGGTGAGGAACCGGCGGTCGCCTCGCCGGAGGAGTCCGTCCAGGAGAGAAGGGTCTCCAAAGGGTCGTGTTTCTCGGTCTCCATCGCCGCGGACAAAGAGGCTGAGAAGAGCCCAAGTGGAGGAGGGTGGGAGAACCAAAGAGAGAGAATATGATAAGAATAATGGTAGAGGAAGCGAGAAGAGCGACAGTAGGGAGGTGGCTAGGAAAAGGGAAGTAGATAGAGAGAGAGGAAAGGAGGGAAGAGAGGATGAGAAGGCTAGGGATAGAGGAAGTAAGAGCGGAGACGAGGAGGAAGAGAGGATGATAGGCACTCTAGAGGAAGATATGAGAGGTCACGTTCACCAGATAGGGCCACTGATTCAAGGCATAATGAGGTATGTGGTCATATATGTGTCTTTTTCGCCTAATTGTGTTCTTAATCTCATATTTTGTTTTGTTGTTTTTTACTTGAAAGATGCAAGTGTATTTCCAAATTGTTTAGCTTTATTTTAGGCAGGTGTAAGTCTTTCTCTCTGCTACTGGTGTTTCTATGTTGCATACTGATTATGATTTTGAATCCTGAAAAGCTATGTGCCTGCTGACTTGCTTTGTATTTAGAGCCTCCACCCAACCATTTGTCACGGATAGTAATGCTGGGTGATTTGTTCATTTTTCCAGGGATCTAATGCAAGAGGGGACGGAGAGCAGTAATTTCCTTAATTTTTCTTCCTGGTGTTTCTGAAACCTTCTTAAATTTTTCTTTCTTTCATTTGATTATTGTTTCTGTTTTCTGTGACAGAAATGAGGAGGAAGATTCGGTAGCGAAGATGAAAGCGGCTGAAGAGGCTTTGACAGCAAAACAAAAGGTACTGACATTCATTTTCTCTCATCATTTTGTTCTCTTTCAGATGTTTCTTTCTTAATGTAGGTTGGATAGGCGAACTTGCCACAGAATGTATTTAACTATATATGTAATATGTTGCATAAAAGGTTTCTATACTGATGATGGGTGATGAAGATTCTGTATAGATCATGTGTGGAATTGATGCTTTAGATCGGACATTCGCATATCCTGCAGGAACAACCTTCTTTTGAGCTATCAGGAAAACTTGCTGCAGAAACCAACAGATTCAGAGGTGATGTTTGTGCTTCGGAAATTTATTTCAGAATAGACACAGCTAGCGTTTCTTTGTGGATGTAAATTTTTCTTATCCACAGTGCTCTTTAAATAGGTGAAATGTGAGCTTTCGCACTTGGGCCAATTTTTCTTCATTTCATATATCTTTCTTCCTGTAAGAAAGCAAATTGTTAAATTAGGTCTTTAGCTATCGAGACCTGGCCGTCATCCCCCTCTTATTCACTGCCAACCAACACCACTGAAAGGAAAAGTAGAAGTGTAGTTGATAACTTGATATGTTTTGGTTTTTCTTGTTCTCATTCAATGAACTGTAATCTTCTATGCTCTGATTAGATAGTTTTCTCGACTGTCTTTGCTATTGCAGCTTTTAGGATTTATCTAAGATAATGATTTATCATGCTGAACATTATGCATCTTTCTCGGTCAAACCCTATTCAGGTATCACGCTGCTGTTCAATGAGCCCCCAGATGCTAGAAAACCCAGCACGAGATGGAGACTATATGTTTTTAAGGGTGGTGAACCACTCAGTGGTCAGATTTTTATTCCTCCCTTGCTTTGCCCGTCACTAGTGCCATAATTTGCTGCAATGGATTCTCCATAGGTGTTAAATAGTTGTCCGTTTTCTCTGTTTGTCACTTGCAACTTTCTCTTCTTCTGGTGAGCATCAGTGTCTTAGTTCACACAGTTTATATGTGGTGAAGGTCATACTAGCTGTTCAATGAAAGGTTTGTTTTTTTTAGATTGTGTGATGCACCTGTAGCATGTCGAACTAATTGTCTGTTGTATTTACAAGCGTTGGTATAACTGAAATGTTTTCATAGCTGCTACTTAGAACTCATCATAATTTGCTTATTCACACAATGTTTGTGGCTCTGAGAGAAACTAGGATTGATCTTCTTAAAGGTCGATCTGTGGTCAATGGGTTCCTTTTCATTTTTGTTGAAATGTTTGAATATTGCATTGCATTGTAAGGGCCAGGTATATGCAGTTCTTTCTCCGTTTTTTATGAAATGTCATTGGTGTTTCTTTCGTCATTTGCTTCTAATTCTAGAGTCATGTATCGATTTCCTTGATTTAAGAAGTTTATGCATGTCAAATTTGTTGGGTTTACAGAGCCACTCTACATACATCGTCAGAGTTGCTACCTCTTTGGTCGTGAGAGAAGGATCGCAGATATTCCTACCGATCACCCATCTTGCAGCAAGCAGCATGCAGTTATACAGTTCCGGTAGGTTACTGATGAGCAGTTCTGATTTCGAGTAACCATTTCATAAGTATAAAATTTCGTGGGAAAAGGATTTAGTTATCGTTTGGTTTACATTAATGCCATCGTTACTCTACTAATCTCAGGCTAGTGGAAAAAGAAGAAGCAGATGGTATGATGTCGAAGCAAGTCAGGTAAGGTTTATTTGTTGTTCCCTTATGATAACTTGGTAATCAGACGCTCTTTTCTAATTTTTTCTAATAGCAATTGAGATACGAACTCGTTTTTGGTTACTGTTCAGGCCTTATATAATGGATCTTGGAAGCACCAATAAGACTTACATTAATGTGAGGAATGCATCTGGTAAATTTTCAATCCATTTCGCTTCCTACATTTGTTATTCTTGCAGTAACATTACATTTTTCATTTTTCAGGATAATCCGATTGAATCACAGCGATACTACGAGCTCTTTGAGAAAGATACCATCCGATTTGGTAACAGTAGGTAAGCTACTAAACTTAGAGTTTTAATTTTTCCTTCCTTTAAGATCATGAAAATCTCATAGCTCTACGCAGTTTTCTCATTTTGTTTGTTGTCCTGTTTCGGGTGAAGATCTCGATATATGTTGTCCAAATCGATATATTTATCATGTTGCGTCATGCTCATTATGTCTAGCAGAGTTCTTCTAGTAAGTAGTAAATAGTTGGACTTGCAAAACTATGTTCAGCTCGTCAAGAATTTAGTCGCCTCAATTATCGCGTGGTTGTTCTATCCTATACCTGGGTTGAGCATTGTAACTATAAAAACACAGAGATATATGTCTTCGTAGTCCAAATTCTAACCCGAAATGTCTATCTAATTCCATCCTCTTTAACCGCCGAACTTCTGATGTTTTGGGTGTACATTGTCCGGAACTGCTTTCATATTCTGCAAGTTCTTGATATATCTTTTTTTTTTTGTAAATGTTCATCGATGCAGCCGAGAGTATGTGCTGTTGCACGAGAACTCTATTGGTTGAGCATCACTGGAAAACGTGACGGGAGAAGGCTTCAAAACGTTCTCATGTGGATTTTAGGGACGATTTCGATAACTCAACAGCCTCTTGTTTGCTTTTTTTTTCGGTCTATCGAAAATCTTGCTCATGGAACAGTTAAAGAGGGGGCATTCACTGTTATTTAGAAAGCTTTTGGGAACTTTTTGTTTTGGTTTTGGGTTTAGGGGTTTTGGATTTAGGATTTAGGTGTCAGAAAGAAAGGCTGTGTGTTTTTGTGGTGATGATCGATGTTTTCTTCCATGGATTCGATAAAATCTGAAGAAAAGCTACATCTAGTTTGATACGAATTGAATTGTTAGTATTTAGTAAGCTTGCTACGTTCCCTTCTTCTCAAACTTGGAGTCAGTGTATTAAGATCAACTCATTGTTCAAGGAAACTGCCCCTTGCTTTCCTCCGAAAATAATGAAGAAAACCAATTTGTTGTTTTTTTTTAAACTCAATTATTAGTATTACATAGTACACGTTTACAACAAAAAAAATCTAATAATTAGGTGGACAAGGGACTAATATTTTAAATCTAAAGTTAATCCAAAAATTTAGGGTATTCAATTTTTTACTGGAATAGTTTTGAACACCACTCTTTTAGCATGGTGCATATAAAATTTAAAGACAACGGTTTATAATTAAACGTCGTTTAAGACATTTCATGATTTATCTAAAAAAATAATATTATACATAGTTAAAAATTAATCTAATAATTAGTGATAGAAGATAATAGAATATCTAAAAATTTCATATATTTCAATTCATATAAAAAAAAGTCTGAATTATCTCCAGGATTAAGATTCGAAATCTGGTATTATATTTTTTTTTATTCAAGTGTCTAAATTTTGGATACAAAAACTATTGGATATTGTAATTATTAATAAATATCAGCATATATAATTTTTTTTTTACTTTTCTATGAGATGATCCAACTAATTTTGTAAATAATGGTAATTTCATATTTTAGTAAATATTTTTTTTTTGTTATTTTGCAAGATGAATTATCCAAACTCGATCCATGCCGATTGTGATGTATAATATTTGGATGGATAATTTACTAGATTTTTTGTTTAGGATTGATTAATTAATAACTAGTTTTGTTATTTAAAAATTAATTTATTATACAAAAAATTATATTTCAAATTCATCTTTAAAACTTTTAAACAATCTTATTTACATTTTAAAAAAATTAAATTCATCCTAAATAATAAAAAATACTTATCCTTTTAAAAAAGCTAAAAACATTTATTTGAAAAGAATGGTCGTAAAAATTGTTATTAGTTTATAATAAAAGTAATGGGAAAATAGCAAATAAATACACCAATTTGGTAATTTCTTACTCATAAATACATGAATTTTTTAACTCTCCAAAAAATACATTAATTCGTAATTTTCTGGCAAATTACTACATAGACATTAACACCGTTAACTTTGTAACAGTTTCTCGTGAACGGTGCTGACGTGGCTTACCGGATTTTCCACGTCAGCACCACATGTCAAAAAATTTCCACGTCATTAAAAAATAAAAACAAAATTAAAATTAACTTTATTTAAAATAAAAATAATTTAAAAATATTTTTAAATTTTAATTTTTAAAAAAAAAATACAAAATTACAAATTTGAAAAAATAAAAATTTTAAATTAAAATTCAAAATTTAAATTTAAAAATAAATATTAAAAAATAAAACTTTAAATTTTAAAACTAAATATATACACATACATATATACATACATATACAAATTTCCCATAAAATATATATACATATATATATACATACATATACATATATTTCAATATATATATATATATACATATATACATATAATAAAAATATATACATATATATATATACACATATATATATACATACATATATATATATATATATATATATATATATGTATATGTATGTATATATGTACATATATATACATACATACATATACACAAAGAGGCTGAGAAGAGCCCAAGTGGAGGAGGGTGGGAGAACCAAAGAGAGAGAATATGATAAGAATAATGGTAGAGGAAGCGAGAAGAGCGACAGTAGGGAGGTGGCTAGGAAAAGGGAAGTAGATAGAGAGAGAGGAAAGGAGGGAAGAGAGGATGAGAAGGCTAGGGATAGAGGAAGGGAGAGAGACCTGGAAATCAACATACATATACATATATTTTAATATACCTATATATATATATATATATATATATAAATTTACACAAATATAAATACACATATACATGCACATGTGTAAATTTATATGTATATGTGTGTATATATATATGTATATATTAATATTCATGTGTAAATTTATATATATGTGTGTATATATATACATATATATATATATATATTGAAATATATGTATATGTATGTATATATTTTTTATTATATGTATATATGTATGTGTATATATTTAGTTTTAAAGTTAAATTTTATTTTTTAATTTAAATTTAAATTTTGAATTTTAATTTTAAATTTTAAATTTTATTTTTTAAAATTTTTAATTTGTTCAAATTTTTTAAAATTTTAAATTTTTTTATTTTTTTAAAATTATTTTTATTTTAAATGAAGTTAATTTTAATTTTGTTTTTTTTAATGACGTGGAAATTTTTTGACATGTGGTGCTAACGTGGAAAATCCGATAAGCCACGTCAGCACCGTTCACCGGAAACTGTTACAAAGATAACGGTGTTAGCGTCCGTGTAGTTATTTGCCAGAAAATTGTGAATTGATATATTTTGTTGGGAGTTAAAAAATTTATGTATTTATGAGTAAGAAATTAGCATATTGATATATTTATTTGCTATTTTTCCTAAAAGTAATTGGCAAATGTTATGTATATATTATTTACCAAACATTAAATACATTTTACATACATCTTTTAAAAAAACATTATTATTATGCATATAAAAACTTTGTGCGAAGAATTAATAAGATATATATATATATTTGGTTTTGCTTTTTGATATAAACTAGAAATTTCATATGGTTTAAAATTAAAAATAAATTTTATAATTTATAAATGAGGAAACTAAATTCTAACAAATAATTATATAGATTTAAAAATATTTGACTGTAGTTTTTGAAAATAAATAATCTTTAAGATTTCTTTTTTTCTACTCGCATCAATATAAGTAACTAGTCAATTTTTATGTGCCTTCTTTTTCTAAAATATTTTATAATGGGTTTGAAGTTTTAATATTTTCTTTTATATTGTCATAGTTTTGGATTTTTATGATAAATTTAAAATATATATCTGTTTTTTTTGGAGATTTAATGGTTTAGGTTTTCCGTGAGATACGCCTTTGACCTTTCTTATATTGTGTCTTCGGCGCTCCAAGTAAAACTGACACATCATAGTACATCTTCTTCTCCTCCGTTTACGCTCCGGCAAAGTCTGTCTGATCGGTTTTCGTCACATCTCGATTGAATTCTGGGTATATCTGGAGGCCGGAAATTCGCTAATCCCGTTTCATCTTCTTCTAGGTAAGTCGGTATCCAAACTCGAAACTTCAGATTTGGGTACCTTCTCCTTTTGTCTGTCTAGTTCTGCTTCTGCTTTCTCTCTGTGTCTGTTAATGTGTTCGTTTTCATCTGTATGGTTAAATCCGCGACCCTTTTCCCTCTTCCGTCTATCGCTTCTCTTTTCGCGAATTGGCTTTCAATGATCTGTATTGGTTTATGTGTTTCGTTGATTTGATCGCTAACGGTTTGGTTTGAGCACTGAAGCTTCTCGATTTCTTCTCCGTTTTCTGCCTATTTCCATCAGGTCTGAGTCTTGTGTTTTGTTTGCGTTTTTGCTTCGATTACAGTGCCATAAGTTCTTTAATTGGCAGGAAGTTTGAATCTATGATTGTATAATCTGATGTTGCAGATGATTAGGGTTGCAATGTGTTATAGCCTACAGCTTTTGAGATTGACATTAAAATAACCACTCTATTACTCGAATTGAGCTTTCGTTTATGTCGGACTTTATTGGTATTTGCCCGTTTACTGTTGTAATTGACCATATTAGGCTTTCATCTTCCAGTTCTGCTTGAAATTTCAGAGACCCTCTTCCGTTCTCCATCAAAAGTTTGCGGGAAGAACTCCATAAGGAGCCATGGATAATACGCAAGTGGAGTCTCTGGAAGAGAAGCTAATGAGTCTGCTGCGTCAGCTTCAGGCGGAGCATGCAGTTTTCGAGAGAATGGTGTACAAGAATAAGAATCAGCACCGGAGATGCTCCTATTTTCAGTACCTTCTCAAGGTAGCTATGCAATTTCACTTTCTTTTCTGATTGCTATTTTTGTCTCGATGTTTGTGGTAAGCGTGAGAAAGAAGAAGAATTCAAATGGAGAATACTGCCCGTTAGGGGGTTGACTTTTTTCCTCGAGTCAGCTAGGGGTAATAGCTCTTTCGGGTATTTGGTTTGTTTATTGAGATGGGTTGAAAGAGTGACAAGCAAAGAAGAAGGATGGTTTTCTAGAATCTAATGTCCACCCTGCTTTTCTTAGGTGAGGAGGGATTTGAGGCTTTTGCGGACAGCAAACATGGAGGAGACATTGAGATCTTGCTTCCATGTTATCGGTGAAACAAAACCTAGACAGAAAATGTATCATTTGGAAAGGTGGCCTTTTCAATTATGTTCTTTTTTTTAAAATCTTGATCAACTGTATATGTGGATTCTTCTGTTCTGTAGCTTAGTTGGTAGTTTTGGACTATGCAGCTTGAAGCGCAGAAGATGTGAAACTGGAAAACCCAATTTACTGGAAAAACTTCTTGGAACTCTTCGTTTGCTCTCACAGGTATTCTTGATGCTATTTGTAAATGGGACTCGGGCCCCGAGCTGCATGAACAATACAAGGAATCACCAAAAAATTAGGGTTTTATTTCCACACATACCTTCAGGGTCACCCATGTGAACAAGCTCTGACTGATCATTGTTTGTGTTGCAGATGGCTGAAATCATCTTGAGGGCAGCTTGGTATCCTTTCTTGAATTGATGATTTCCTCAATATCTAGCCTAGGTTTATCATTGTTGTCTGACAAAATAGTCCTTATGTTGGATGTTTTCTACCTTGACCATGCCACAGTGAGATATCCACTTTGTTAGCCCGTTCATTTTTCATCGGATTTTCTGTCACATTCTTGGCCCTGCTTGCCCGTCTCCGCATATTGGTTCAACAAGTAAGTACACCTTCTTGTTCCCTTATGCCATCAATCCCATGGAACTTGAACTTGTCAAAGGTTGTTGGATCAAGTTATAAGGTTGGTAGCATTGGGTCATATCTCTCTAGTTATCATTGATATTCCTGATCCTGAGTATAGGAATCTTCATGAAAGAACTCATTTAGTTCATGGCCAGTGCAGAAAGCTAACAAAATTTTTGCGAGAACAATTTAGCTCAGGGAAACAAAAAAGTGTCTTGATACATTTGGAATAGATTTACCGCACAAACTCCTTTTTTTTCTGTTTGTTGGGACTTTTTGTATGATTTGTAGGCAATCTAAGGCCTAAAGCAGATTTGCTAACGTGAGATGTCAACTGAAGTTCATCCTGTAGGATTAAAACACTGTAAAGTTGCTGGCAATATAGGTTTTTTTAGTTACCTAAACTGAGATTTTGAGATTATCGTAATAAAACGGAAGAAAATAGGTGACAGTTGCTCCGATTACGCCGTCAAGGAAAGAATTTATACAAATTGTGAATTTGCTGCGACTGAGGATACGTCTTTAACATGTACATCGGCTTTCCTTCATGCAGATATTGTTTGATGCTGTTTCCATCTTCAATTCAGTAACTTCTATCTCCCGAAAAAAGCAAGTTGTGAAGATAGAACTAGATGGGGTTGAGGTTGGTTGAAACTTTTCTTTTTTCTTGTTTTCACATGTTCTTACTTAGCTCTGTGCGTTATGTCAATATACAATTCAGGTATTCCGCGAGTTCTATCCAAAGGACGAGGACTATATCACATTAGATTGCGTATGGAAGACAGATAAGTTTGTGTTACTGGAGACATTGCAGAAGCGTGAGGATATTACTATTACTAAAGATCAGGATGTAGCAGAAGACCCTTCTAGTAGGGATTTATCAATACAGTATCACACACTTTTCTCTTTTCTTGGGGGTAAGACACTTCACAGAATCCTCCTTTGGCCTTTTGTTGTTAGTTAACCTAGTTTCCGTTTTAGTGCTCCACTCATTAGGTATTGAAACAAACATATTCGTTTGGCCTCATGACTTGTGGTCTAGAGTTTAGGTCTGAGAGTTTAGCCGTTTAGGGTTTTTCTGCTATGGGCATGAAAGCATGCAAAAAAAGTTAATGTTTCGTAACTTAGCTGAAGCACCATTTCCTGATTGAATTTTTCATTTGCAGAAGATGCATCTTCTCTGGTTGAAGCAGAGGATAAAGTTGTAGTGAGAGAGAGTTCAACTTCCATGGAGGGAGTCCCTTCTTCAGAGACAAACAACGGAACACAACAAACAGAAGCTTCAGAGAAAACGGAAGACATGCCTAACTTGCCTGTAGAAGCCGAAAAAACAGGCACGGACCGAGTAAAACCCAGTTCAAGTTTTGCAACTAAAGTGGCTTTTCTATCTGTGAAGAGACCTTCACCTGTAACAGGCAATGCCATGGAACCTCCATTAAAGAAACCAGAAACTAGCAGCAAAAACACGAAAGAGGAAGATGGGTTTTATAATTTACTCATCCGTGGGACCGGAAAAGACAGCTTGTTCTAGTGGGCATGTCGCTTGTGAGCTAACTCTATCAATGGCACTGGAAAGAACAACATCAAAACCAGGTCATCATGCCTTCTTAGCAGAGAATCCGAGGATGAAGTCACGGATCTCCTCACTGTTGGCTCTCTCTATGGCGGTTCTTCCATCTGCATCCTTGACCGAGAAGTCAGCACCTGCTCTAAGAAGCTCCTCAATCTTTGGCTTGTCCCCTTCCGTGGCGGCTAACAGCAACAAGATATCGACCGGGTGAATGTTTTGGTTAAGAAGAGCCTCCATCTTGTCGTATGAACCTTCCACAGCTAACATCCCCATGTAGTTAAAGTACTGACAAGAACAAGAAAACACGTCTACTTCAATCAGAATCTCATTTTTTTAACCCACAAGTTCTTGTTCTGTCTTCTACACAGCATGCATGTATGTTCAACAATACATATCTGAATCCCATTGTTCATCGAAAACCATGAAGTTCTTGTTCAACAGCGCATCCATGGATTGTACTACAACTCATGGAGCAGAATCTCAATGTTACATGAATTCTCACGAAACTCGATCTTAATGTTGGCAAAAACTTTGAATGAAATTTAACGAAACAAGCCCGTACTCTTATTTGTTTGACAAATAACCATTTTGATCGCGTTCATATGAATCGCAAAACACAGAATACACGATGATGGTAGGAGCATTCCTGAGAATTCTGTGCAAAGGAAGTAACATGCAGCTTCATAGTTTGATTTAATTGAGCATCTTATTAATCTAAATAAATCCGGAGAAATCCAATCAATACCCATGAAAACATTGGAGGGGATGAACAAGATTAAGAAGAGGAAGAAGAAGAACCTGCTCAACGTCGTCTCTGTCAAAGTCGTCCCGAGACTGACTTCCATAGATTCCGGCATTTTCAGCGTCAACACCGTTCTTTCCAAACTTGAACCAGCAAGTGGCTCTCGACCCGCTCGAGGGTCCGAGTCGAGCGGGTCGGATCCTGGTCGAAGGACCTCGGATCCCCAGGAACCCAGAAGAGAGCTTCAGAGAAGAACAAGCGTTGTTGTTGTTGATGATAGATTTGTGGGATAAGAGTGAGCTCGCGAAAGGAGCTGTGCATGAGATCGACGCCATTGTTGTGTTCTTCTCTGCGAAGAAAATATCGGAGCAGATTTTGTGGGAGATTTTATTATCCTCTTGTTTCTCGACAGAGCAATCTCCACCGTTGGATCTCTTATCATTCCCTTCTCTCTATAAAGAACAGGTGATATCCGGTCCGGCCGAAGTTTTTTTTTTAAAGAACAATTTTATATTTCAATTTAGCTATATTAAATTTTATACATATGATACTGTTCAGAAGATAAGTAAACTTTTATAAAACTAAATTACAGTCACATATTTTTAAAATATATTTATATAAATCTATTCTTGTATAAAAATATTTATATTCCAAAAAATGAGAACTATATATATAGACATCAAGATACATTTAACATAAACTATGATTATAACTGTTTACGGAACTATAGAAACTTCAAAATTTGTAAAGAGGAGAATCTAACAAAAACATAATATCAAATAACAAGTTCAAGAGAGCTTTGAGTTTGTCGAAAAAGAAGCCTCAGAACAGGGACTTTGAAAGGCACTGGATCAGAATGAGGCAGCAGGAAATAACATCAAGCGTGAGACGAGTGTCCATTCCCGAAGCAGAAGGGGCGGAAGAAGATAACGCAGGACAAGAGCGGGACCCTGTCTGGACGCCGTGGAGCAATGCAGTGCATATGCCCTCCGAGCAGGTGATACAGATTCCGCGTTTGCAGCAGTGTTGTCCAGTGGAGATGATGAAACGCTGGTCAAATTGCACTCGATCAACTGTCCAACGGCGTTGGAAACGAGGCTCTCCACGCCATTGGGCGGTTTCTGCTGGGTCTGAATCTCTTTGGCATTGGTTTGTCTTGGGTTACGGAGTTCTTCTCCACTCTTTTGAAAAACTTGTTGGTTTGTGTGTAAACAAATCTCAAGATTTTTGGACTCGGCTTCTCTACGTCTAAATGCGCCTTGTCGAAACGCCCTTTGGTCTCTGTGTCCTGCAGCTGCTGGAATCGGAGCAGACTTCATGGGCGTTCCGTTGGAGCTGAAGAAAGGGCTTCTGTTAAACTGGATGAAGCCACGGCCTTAATGGACTGGGAAGGTCTACCACCCGACGGTCTTCTTCTCTCCATGGACCGACCAAACAGAGCTTTGCTTATGTTTGTGCATCTGTGAACTCACTCATCAAAGCTTCTATGGACGTTTTTCAAGTAATGATATAAAACACATATATTAACATGATCGTCGTGTGATACGAACTCTGAAATGCATAATTACTTGTTTTTATGATCAAAGAGGGAGAGAGAGAGAGAGAGCGAAAAGTTTTGGTTGGAAAAATTACAATAACCTCTTAACTTATTTTATTCTACACAATTTTATTAAATATTGGAATAACTAATGCTTTTTAATTAAATTGTTTAAAAGATAACACAAAAAAATCGTATCAAATCATGTAAAGTCAGACAATTTTGAGAATTTCATTAGCAATAAGTTAGTTTAGCTTCTCTAAAACATTTTAATGAAACTCTAAAACTGTATAATCCATTAGCATAAAATTGATATTCTCGAATTACCGGTGATCGGAGTTTTCTGTATTTGTGGAATCTAGTGTTTCGTATATTCTGTCATTCTCGGATTACCGGTGATCGGAGTTTTCTGTATTTGTGGAATCTAGTATTTCGTATACTCTATCATACCTACCGATAGACATAAGTAGCAAATATACAGTCGGATTGTAGCTTGAAATTCTCCGCACTCTTAATCAACTCCATGCTTTCCTCCTAAAATCATTAGATAAGAACGCAATAGAACGTTTTTTGGGTTATTTAGACAAATGCTATATAACTCGCGTCAAAAGCCGATATTTTTCTCACGGATTGGAGCTAGATATCTTTTTCGCGACATACAAGTTATATTCGAGGATAAAATGCCTAACCTGCAACATGTATTGAAGATTGAGCCCATGATCTTGATATTGTTTAGCCATATGAACGACCAAACATAGGGTTGCACTAACAAGCCATCTCCGGGTGAAACTCATAAACACTTGGCAAATTAATTAGAAAAAATAATTGCCAATGCCACCTTTTTTTCCGGGATAATGAATAGTTTCGTATCAATTTAAAATCATTTACTCCACCAATAATTATGGTTAGCAGTGGACTAATAAATACTCTCATCACTATTTTTGGTTTTATTAATAGAGTAATGAATATCCGTGGCCATATTTTTTGGAATATTTTTTTTTTACTTTTTAAATTGTAATAATGTATTGACACTTTTAAGCCAATAAAAACTTTCAATATATAAGATTAATATCTCCTTAACCATTTATACTATAACATAAAATATTGACCACACTTTTTGGTATAACTCTTTTTTTTTTTAAATTATAATAATCTATTGACAGTTATAAATTTAAATATAATTTCTAATATATAAAATTAATATCTCATTAACCATTCATACATTTTCAACATACACATAAAATATTTATTAATATTACCATTAATCATTCATATATGATAATTTTTATATACAAAAAAAAATTAAAATATATATCGATTTCATCTCAATCCTTTAAATCTTATTATTAGTATATAGATTATTTATTTAATCCTATATAATTGTTTATGTGGCTTTTAAAATAATGTCACGTCAAATTTTTGTCTAACATTTGCGTCAAAGGATTTATGTGTTCAGTTTTATAAAGTACATGTATATATATTTATACGAGTAAATATAAATACAGGTTGTTTAATAAAAGAAAGAGTATGTTTTTCTTTTTTTGTCAATTTTTTTCTTCGATTTCCCCTGATAACAAGCAGGAAAAGGGCAAGGAGATCTTCATGACCCATCCACTGCCTGGCTGGGAGATGGCCCTACAATGTCCGTTTGTCCGTACACATACAGAGCACACAATCTTCGTGGTTTTCATCAAACCCAACCCTCTTCTTCGTCTGGAGGGACTCAACCAGATTTGAATAAACATTTTCACAGTCTACACAACACTCCGTACGGCAGGAAAGCTTTATATCTGTTCTTTCCTTTTTCACTAAAAGAGAAAATACATGTCCAGTGTCCATATAGAGAAGTATTTTCTCTTTTTGTATCCCGGAGTCTGCAGGCTCTGCAGCAGCTCCTCTTATATCTCTAGAGAGCTAAAACTACAACAAAGAAGAAATTATTATGAAATCATATCCATGATTCATCAAAAAGTACTTATAACCACGTTCAAGCAAATTAATTTCAGAAAGATCAAAGCTTTCTCCGGAAAGAACAAAGCTTGAACGGAGGAAAACTGAGCTTTCAAAGAAGACAGGTGGTAGTTTGATTTCTTCTCTGCATTCTGAGATTATGGAGAAATCGTCGTCTGAATGCGAACTTCCCTCTCCTCCTTTGGACGTAAAGCTTTTGTGCTCGAAGGTTTCTTTCATGGGGTGGAAGCTGGCGAGCAACAAATACAAGACATGGGTTGCAAAGATGGCTGCATCGCATAAAGGCATCTGGGAAAAAGCAGGAATCTTTGAAGCAATCATGGCTTCGACATACAGAATCTGGAAAAACGAAGATCTGATTTTTGCTGTTGCTGAAAGATGGTGTCCTGACACCAAAGCTTTCGTCTTTCCATTTGGGGAAGCGACTGTAACTGTTGAAGATGTGAAGATGCTTCTGGGTTTCTCTGTTTCTGGCTCCCCTGTTTTCTCTTCTCTCGAAAGCTCCGAGATGAGAGAGACGAAGGAGAAGATAGAGAGAGAGATGCTGAAGATCAAGAGAGATGGAGGGCTTGTAAACCAGGTCTCATGGATGCTAAGATTCATGGACAGGAATCATCAACTTGAGCATGAGGCTTTTCTTGTCTTGTGGCTTAACAACTTCGTTTTCCCCTGTCCTAACCGGATTTTCTCGAGAAACGTTATACCAATCGCTGTCCATCTTGCCAGAGGTACCAAGATAGCTCTTGCTCCTGCTGTTCTTGAATCCTTGTATCAAGATTTGGATTCGTTGAAACAACATATTCAGTGCCTATCCAACTCAGATTGTGCTCATTATTTCTCGGCGCTTACTCTGAGATCTTTGTTTAGCTTAGTCCAGGTCTGGGCATGGGAAAGATTCAGTAAACTGGGGTTGAAACCTAAGATGTCCCGAGATGGTGAGCCTAGATTGGCTCGGTGGCACAATCTGAAACAGAGTTCGAAGAACTTTAAGCAAATTCTGGCTAGCTCGGGGACAGACAGTTTTGAATGGTATCCCTATGGTGACAAAGCATCTGCCAAAGAACTGCCTCTGAGTTCTGTGTATCAGAAGGAAACCGTAAACGATGGTCTTGCTTTTCTAAGAGTTTTCCCGAAAGCCAAAAGGTCTAAGCAAAGCGAACATGTTAATGAATCGGTAAGCAGAAGAACGAAGCATGGGGAGGAAAATTTCTCTTTAGAAACACTTCAGGAGGTGGCTTCTTTAGGCTATAATAACGAAGAACCATCTGAAATACGGAAAACGAGTGAGGAAAGTGATGAAGTTGCAAGTGGAGGGAAGGAGATTATGCCCAGGAATCCATCTGATGAATCAAAGATGCAGGGAAATGTAGAAGATGGCATTGAGGGAACAGAGTGTTGGCTTCATGGGGATGGCCTTGAAACCCGAGAAACACTGAAATCGAGTGAGGAAAATGATAAACTTGCAAGTAAAGGGAAGAATACTATGTCCGAGAATCCATCTGATGAATCAAACATGCAGGGCAATGTAGAAAATGGCACTCAGGAAACAGATCAGTGTTTGCTTCATGGGGATGGCCTTGAAACCCGAGAAACGTTGAAATCTAATGAGAAATTCAATGACGGTGTTGAGAGAGAGGATAATAGTGGTGATGGAAGGGTGGTTAGTAAGCAAGTGAACACCGACCAGAGATTTGAGCAGAAGAAGCATTCGGTAGCGATACCAGGTTTGGAGCTCGAGATGCGTGTTCTTGAGCTGAAGAAGATTTTGGCAGAGATAAAAGAATGGCAGACCAGAAAGAGGAGCAAAGAAGGAGGAGTTTCAGCTCGGTTTTAGCTTTATTTGTCCAAATCAAAGAACAAAGTCATAGTCAATCACCCTTTTGCAAAATCAGTTGTTCCTGTCTCTAACCAGCCTTAGTAGACTGCCATGTATATCCGTTTCTTCGCATATCCAGAAGTCGGTAGTTATAAGCTAAAAGCTTTTTGTTTTGTGTCTCTCGAGTTCCTGCATGACATCCTCTCACCGTAAGATGCAGGAAAGGAGTTGAAATTTGTCTGTTTCCGACAAGATTTAGTGCCAACCCAGAGCTTGAAAATGTTGTCTGTGAAGCCAAAAAAGCGGATCAGAAGCTGCAGAACTAAAAGAACAAACCATGGATGAAAGACAAATGAATACATATGAATTAGTGTTACAAATTAGCTAACTTTATTGGTGGGTTTTGACCAATGACGCAGCTTCACATGAACGAAAAGAAGATTTTATTCTCTAGTCTGGAAGACGATGATGCATTCATTTCTAAAACTGAGAATAATTTACCTTTTGAAAAGGACATTCATGGACTTAGCAGTAACAGACAAGTTAAGTGTTGGAAACGGGCAAGCTTACAACATCAAGATTCTTTGTTACTTGAAGAAGTTGTCTGTAAAGTGAAAAATCTGATCACAAGCGGAAGAAGCGCAACAGAACAGGTCAGAGAGATGAGTGAATCAATGTTGCAAAGAAATTGACTTTGTTATTGGTGGGTTGCTCATGAACCGGTCAGAGAGATGTATTGGCAATAGATCAAGTGCTTTCCAAACAGCTTAATTCATTCTAGCTCATGATCTTATACATACATCAAATTCCAAAGAAATCACTTCTGAGAAATACAAAATCATGCAATATTTTCAACCAAGGAAAAATGATAATCCAACCTTTCAAAGCATAACCGCAACAGTGTTTTGTCTAAACAGTACAGCTTTCTGATCGACGAATTGAGAAGGTATCACATAAGCAACCCACCAACAGAGAGTATCGTATGCATAAACGGAAACCCGATTCAAGAACCATCAATTATCTTTTGATGGAATATGATTGCCGCCAGTAGCAACTTTGTACACGTAAAAACCGGTCATGAGAGCACTGCAAGGCATCAAACACAGATGGATGATGGTTTTAGGGCTTCCTTTATATCAAAGTAACTGTAATAAAAGGAGAAGAACGCAAATGGTGGATGTGAATAAAGAAACAGAGAAATTTCAAGGAGGGATTTTTACCTGATTCCAGCAACCATACCAGCAGGCATAATCTTTTGAGTTTGCAAGTAACGTTGTCCCATGACAAGAGTGAGAGCAGCGGCACAAACTGCACACGAGACATTCGGGTTAGTTTCAATGGCCTTCCCACTTAAGATTAATAAAGAAGCTATTGAAGATCCTCAAGGGAAGAAAACAAAAGAATTAGCGAGTTTTCTTGTAAAGCTTTTAGTGTTTCAACTAATTGTTCAAAGAATCTATTCACTAGGGACAATCTTTAAGAAAATCAAATCAAAACAGAAGCTTTCACTCATCATCACCAATCATCCACCAAACAAACTTTTGCATTTGGTCTCTTGTTGAAAGTGGCAGAGCACAGTTTCAAGATAGACACTAGATGTTTGTCATCAAACTTTAAGAGCAACCCACCCAAATGTCACTATAATCTAACATCTAACCACAAGAAAATGTCCATAGCTTCATCTTTGACATGGATGGCGACCAAGATTATAGGATTAAGCACCCCTAATCGACATATTGCCAGACCCCTTTATCATGCAGATTCTTGAGTAGTCCAAAAAGATTTTGGTATCTGTTCAACATCGCCTATCACCTTGCCATGAAGAAACAAGTTTCTGATATGAACCATAAACCATAAACAAGGCCGAGTAGATCAATCATCCATATCCAACCACTTTCTTCCTAGTGTTTATTACATCCATACTCATGAACAACAATTTAGCATCACTCCGCATACAAACGAATGGCAGATTAACGTCAAAAGCTCTTATCCATTTAGTAACCGGACAGAATTTGATCTCAAATTCTAAAAAAATCCCAGATCAGAGAGACAATATCATCGCAAAACCTGTCTCGAGAATCTGAGCGAGAGACGAGTTCTTCTTCTTCTCGAAGGCCTTGAGACTGAGATAACCAGCGAGGATGAGCAAAAATCCAGTGCCGACGCCTCCGGCAAGAGATACGGTGCTCCCTCTCCTCAAGTACCCAAAAACGCCTCCGCAAACAAGAAGCAACCCGTACGGGATCGTGAAGCAGAAGTCGTGCATTTTCTCAAACTGGGTATGATTTTCTCGGAAAAACAGAAAATGTGTTATCGCGGATTGACGAAGAAAGTCGCAGAAATCTCAATCGATCGATCGTCTGAAGATGAAGATGAGTGTGGTGAGCGCGTGGAAAAGGTCCTCTTCAGCGGTTTCAGACACAACTAATCCATTTTGGTTCCACTTAAGGTCTATGATTAATCTAATTAAAAACATATTAATTATATAATAGGATGTGGAATATTAGGTTTACTTTTATTATTGCAGATGTCATTTTTTTCAAAGGCATTGACAAATTTAGTCTACATTTTGAAAAACAAAGCTCGTTTCCATATTAAGAAAAAGACATGATTACCAATTTTCAATTTACTAAGTTGGTGGACGTATCATTTTCATCGTATCAGAAATTTTATATCCCATTTTTTTTTTTGTTGAGATGTTAGAATGTATTGATAAACAAAAAAAAAAGGAGAGATTTCATCAACAAATAAAAGATTTAGAACCAATTCTGAACTAGCCACACTTAATGGCTAAAAAAAGTATGATTACAAAATTTTAATTATTTTCATTAGATCACATTTTATTTAAATTTGGTTTCAATAATGTTATATCTAATCGATTTGTATTTGTTTCGTGTTATAAATGAAATATCTTTGTAGCAGTAGAGAGTGCACCATCATAGTTCATACATACACTGTTACAATTTTTTCAATCTATCCATAATAACTTGTAATGGTCTATATTATATCTTTTTCAAATAAATAAATTATATAATCGCTCAAAAGTGATCATCCAAATCGATTAGTTATATAAAACCAAATTTATAAATATGATAAATATATAAAAATAAATGTATTGAGTCTATAGATTTTCTAACATATAGTTTCATCAAATGTGTTAGAGATAGTTTCTAGATTTCATATAACGGAAAGAAATTAAAACCATAATGCAAAATATATATTTTAATTGTGAGTATCAATTGTGCGGTTTCTGATAAATATGATTTTAAATCGTATTCGGGGGTTATATTTTCTGTTTGAATGGTGGAGTTTATGTCGATTTAGGGTGTGATCTAATTTTATTTTAATTTTCTAGATATAAGTAAGGCATACGGATCCTTTATATATCTAAGATCGAGGGATTTGGAGGAATCATCGAGACAATCGCATTCAGTAGCAATATGATAATATGGATTGAAAGGAGAGAAAATAGAAAGTTATCACAGATCAAGAATAAAGAAAAAAAATGTAATAGGATTGCAAATATCGATGTATTATAGACCAATAATAGTTTTGATAATACATATTTGCATTGATAAATGGTAATTTGGATATTATACATTTTCTCATGGTATTTTTTTAAGGATTGGATGAAGTTTTTGAAATTTTTATTAGGTAAAAATATATATTTTAATTATAAATATATATCCTTTTTCATAATTTTTAAATATAATATCTAAAATAAAAAATTAAAATATTATTTTTATCAATCAAAATTTCTAAAAACTAAAGAATAGAAAAACAAACACTAATAAACAAAACCGAAAAACTCAAAATAAAAACTTCATCCGCCCAAGTTACAGCGTTCAAACCCTAACATGCTTCCAATCTAGTCGTCCGAAAAATCCCATCGGGGAATCTTACCTCTCTGCACTTCTGACTTCTGAGGTTTTAGCGTCTAATTATTTCAAAGAATACTCGAACCAAATCCTCTTTGTTCTTTTGATCTTTCTCTTCCATGGAAACTCTCTTCACTTCAGTTTACGTCACCAACCTGCCGGAGTCTAAGCCATCTCTTCCTTCTTCCTCGTCGTCTCCTTCTCCTTCCTCTCCGTCTTCTTGTCGGCTGTGCAATTCTCTGACCAAGCGAATCGCCGAACTCAGGTTCAGCCATGGATCGGGTCATGGGCTTCGTCTGCGGGCCCTTTTACATGGCGAGACTCCAAGCGAAGGAGATGATAATTTGGCGGGGAGTAATGGGTTTGGCTTGTTTTTCGGCGATATTCTCTCTTTATCTCACGTAAGTTTCTTCGAAAATGTAATTGTTAGGATCATGCCCATGGAGAAAGGGAATCACAGTAATTGAATTATGCTAAGTTCTGGATAGATCACTACTTCTTTTTGTTGCTAAAGTTGCTAATTCCCGAGAATTAGTTGGATTGATGCAAGCTGAATTTGTTGGTGTTAATAATGTATTGTCTGATTTCATTGGCGTGAGATTGATTGATTCTTATATGCCATGAAGGAAACGTTAAAGGGCGATCAAAGTGGTGAAAATGATGCAGAGACATCTCTTTTGCTTCCTCATGGAGTTGGGAATACAGGTGGAACTCGAGCCGGACTTTTCAGAACACCGATTTCTGGTGGCGTTCAGAGTGCAACCTCTGCTCATGGGTTACCTCGACCAGCTTTAGCTGTCCGGAATTTGATGGAGCAGGTAAGGTTTATGCTCTTATTCATTACATGGGTTGGTTACTTTTACTTAGTAAAACAAAAGATCTTAAAGTTCGTATCTTGTCTCGGGGTTATGGTTCAAGGCCAGGTTTGCTCATCTTTGCACTGTGATGTCTAAGATGCACCACCGCAGAGAAGGGTACCCGTTCGGATCTTTGGTTGATTTTGCACCTGATCGGATGGGGCGTAAGTCAATTGAATCTATCTCTGCTTTTTATGTCTGCTTATAGTTTTGCCATGGCCTCTTTGACTTGTATTCTCCAGAAATGTTAACTTTTCTGATATGTTGACTGACTTGATAGTTGATGCATTTCATCTTCCCGCAGTAAAATGTTATAAATATGTAGCATGTTGTATGGTTATGGGTTTAGTGTGGTTTCTGTTCGCATACATTCTTGAGAGCTAGAGTCCTTATGGGATCTGCTTCCCTTAGTTATCATTCTGGATGTACATTTAGGAATTTTTATCGACATGGTTTGTGTTGAAGGTGAGATACAATACATTCACGTTGTATGTATACTTGCTAAATTTGTGCTGTTTTTTCATGAAAGAAACTTGATAAATCTTTCAATCCATATGTATATACATTTTGTTATGTCTTTTGCTTGTTGTTCCCAGATCCGATATTTTCGTTTTCACCATTGGCTATACACACACGGAATCTCTTGGCTGAACCTAGGTGCACTCTTGTTGTTCAGGTAATTTTGTTTAGTGTGCCTAACTGTTCTGAAACAGAGGATTCTCTTTGTCTTTTTGACTGCTGGATTTGGTTTGCAGGTACCTGGATGGAGTGGCTTATCAAATGCAAGAGTAACACTCTTTGGTGATGTGTACCCTTTGCAAGAAGATCAACAGGTGGGTTTTCTGTTAACTGCGTTTCATTTACTGCACATGAATGTTCATAATCTGTTCACATCGTAATAATTCACCTTTACGTTGGCTCTATCCTTGATTATGGATCTAAATTTTCTTTTTCTGGCTTGCTAGGAGTGGGCTCATAAGCAGTATATTGCAAAGCATCAACAAGGGCCTTCCCAGCAGTGGGGAAACTTCCACTATTTCAGGATGCAGAACATAAGGTTTGCATATAATTTTGTCTTCTCCCAAATTTATTCTTACTTCCATGAAATAGTCATTATTTGTTTATAGATGTGATGTGTTAATGGATTATGGATTATCTGTTTGATCGATGTTTGCATGACATTTTAATATGTACTGACGTTAAGATAAATATGAAGCATACATGTATTGACACTCGGATGATTTTGATTTCCATGATCTTTTACCTTAGTGCCAATTGGGATAACTGATTTGAACTTTGCTTTCCATCACCATCTTGGATACCTTCTATTCGACTCCTAATCTCCAGACTTGGAATTTTGATTTCCATCTTGATTTGCGGGATGTCAAGTAAGATATTTGACAAGGACCAGTGCATGCTAATTTATTTTTACCAAACCCCCGTGGAAATGCATGTTATGTCTTGACAACTGCGCCCAAGGAAAAAATCTAAGGGAAGCTATAGGGCTTTTCCTTTGGTTTAATCTATTTAGTTACTCCATAGTGCAGGTGCAGTCAAGGAATGTGACTAACAATATTGATTGTTTTCAGCGATATCTATTTCATTGGAGGTTTTGGCACCATTGCTTGGGTCAATGTCAAAGAATATGAGGGTCTTCAGCCAGATAAGATAGCTGTTGATGGAGGCGAGCAAAATCTCAAGGTGGAGTATTTCAGATTTTCTTGTTGTTTGCAGGCTCTATTAACTTATCTCATCATGGCGCTCTTATCCACATCTCTAATGATCTGGTATCCACATATAATTACAAAATTATTTTGAATTAACTCTGATATGCCGTCTGCGTTCTCGCAGGAACTGAATGCTATCTTCTCAAAACCGCTAAGAGAGCTCTTGTCTACTGAAAGTGAGGTAGATGATGCTGCTCTCATTTCCATAGACAGCAAAGGAATCGATATACGGGTTCGTCAAGGTGCCCAGGTATTATTACATAAGAGTTTCAAATTTGTGATGCAATTGCAATCTACATGTTCACTGCTGAATTCACAAATGGACAAAGGAAGGATTGTTTCTGCTCATACACAACACATCCTCTAAGCTTCTGCATTGAATTGTTTTGTGCAGTTTAACATACAACGGCTACCTTTTGATGAAGGCTGTGGGGTTGAAACAGTAGAAGAAGCAAAATCTGCTCTGTGGAAAGTGATAAAGAAGGGAAAGGTTCACAATTTGCAGAAATGACATGACAGACTTCAGAAGCCTTTTCAAGGGGATTTCGATCCATGGGGTAATGTGTATTTTTAATGGCATCTCCTAGATAACTCTTCTGATGGATAAGCTCCACTGCATATTCCCTTGTTCGGGCCGTCTTGACATAAGACGTGTTGTTTAACTTGTTAGCTCGGAATCCTAAAGAGGAAAGTGCCTTTCCCTCGAGTTGTTTAACATTAACGACCCCAATGATTTTATCCACTGAAGGGGTATCCATAGAATTGGTCCAGCAGAAAATTTTCCCATTCAGACTTGGTTTCTTACAATGATTTCTCTGGTATCTAGGCTAGTGGAATACCTAAGTGCAAGAGTTCAGCACTTTCCTCGAGTTTGAGATAGGTGGCTCCATCTTCGGCAGTGAATTGGGGCTCTGGTTTCCTCCGGATTACCTTCCAGTCGAGGAAAGGGTGTCAGGTTTTGAGTCATCTGCCGCTTCGATTCTTTGTCCTGAGCTCTTTCAAGCTCCCTGAGGTCATTTCCATTGTCTGCTGGCTCTGTCATGTTGGCCCTCTTGCTCATACCAGGGGGTGGAGGAAAGGTAGTGCTTCCGTTTGGGTAGAGGACGCAACAGTGGTGCCCCTTGGAGCTGTGACGAGAAGGTGGGGTTTTGATGGGAGATTTGTGTCAAGGGAGGGGAAGCATTTGTTGGTGGTGGTGGTGGTGACGGTCGAGCATGGAATTTCAGGGAGATGGTTTTTTTTTTTTGGTGGCGGATGGGAGTGAAATTTCAGGATCGGGAGAACATAATGAGGATTTTAGACAAGGAGGCATGGATTAATCAGATTGGGGGAAGGCTTTCTTTCCCGTTCGATAGTGGCTGATCGGTGGCTGAGTCTAAGGTTTGGTCAGAGCCTCCGTCGCGAGAGCTTCCTCTGAACTACAACGTTCCCAATTTAGCTTCGGTACGGTTTGTTTGTACAGTGTACAAATGTTGGCATCAGAGAAGACAGATTCAGGAAGATTTGTCCAGTGACTTGACACATCTACTGTGAATGGGGCAAATGTGATGAGGATGAATCGAGCTTGAAAGAATGCAGATTATGAATTGGAAAAGTATTATATTACAATACAAAATGTCCTACCGAATTGGGTATTTTTCATTTTAGGGTTTATGGCTCCAGTTTCAGTTTAGTTCTCCACATTTCTCCAAGGACTTTCCTCGGGGATGGATCCTCTGGACCTTTGTCTCGCTGCCCGGATGTGAAGTACAACCACCCGTCCCAATACCCGACCAGCGTAGTTTTCACCCGGTAGGGTAGTTTTCCGATCACAGACCATTTCTGTGAAGAGCAAACATACTAAAACTAAGAGATGGATACAGTAAAATCACCAATGAGGGGTGTCCATCCATGAATTAGAGCTAGGGTTGTTACCAGTGTGTCCAGGTTGAACCGGAAGATCTCGCCGACCAAAACCATCTTCTTGGTTTCAGGGTGCTTCTCTGTGGTGCCTCCCACGATTACAATAGAGTTCTCAACTATTTTCCAAGCAAACTCGATATGGGAATCGGGTTTTGGCATTGACGGCATAGCTTTCCACTTCATATCTCCATCCAGCATGTAGACATCACTGTATACAACCTGAGAGAAATGGTTAAAAACAACCAAGCTGTCAAAAACCATTTAAGATAGCCGATTCGAGAGGAGAAAGAAATACAACAAAGACAATAACACTAAAGGACCAATCATGAATCATGACTTGACACAACCTGCTCTTATATATACATAGTGATGCTTAAAAATCCATCACTTTGAACAATTCTACAAAAAAACAAAATTATAATCCACCAGCCTCGAGCCTGAAAATGACTTCACGGTCATTCATGAAAGGGAACCTGTGGAATTTAACCAGGTTTTCCCCAATCCAAGTTACGGAACCTAAATTAAGCCTGACCAATAGCATGGATATGAATAAGGCTTAACATTTTATTGGAGTATTGAAATTTAACAAAACAAAAAAAGGTGGTTTCTGAAATATGGGAACCATCGAGAGAAGGTTGATGATTTTTTTTTATTAAAAGGTACTTATTTGGGCACCTCGAGACGGCGGGAGCATTTGAAGATGGGCGATCCAGGTTTAGCCATGAAATCACCTTCTTGACCACCAATGACAAAAAGTCTGTCGTCCGCAACTACACATGCCCTATGCTTATAACAACAATACAGTAAGAAAAATCTCCACAATCACGGGCATTTACAAATTACAACAGTCTGAAATGGAGTAGGATGACATATCAGGCCAATAGAGATCATAGACAACACTTTTTTTTTGCACCAACGACTGATAACTGCACTTCCTAATTATGCCAGTGGTCTCGTACTCAAAGAAGTAAAGGCAAGTATGCAGAAACGAGATGCTTCAGATTTCATTAAGGTGAATCTCTGCTTTCAGCAATCTTCAAAGTATATAAATGTAAAGAACCTGTGAGGTCCACCACGGGGGATTGGAATTTCGCTTCTCCACTCATTTTCTAATGCTTTGCCATCTTTCACCATAATGCTCCAATGCTCTAGTCCGGGTGTATGTCGATTCTCCTTGCTTCCACCCATCACATGGAGTCTACCCCTCCATAGTTGAGTAGCCGGAGCATACCTAAAGATTACCATGTCAGCAAATTTCTCTATAAATCTACATCAAAAGAAAATAAATGCACGGCCAAATACGTTTTAGCTACAGACTCAAATAGAGGTCTGAGCATATTTCTTTAATGGGTTTATTTAATAGCCATGCAAATTGTAATACAGAACACACAATCATAACCAAATCTGTCACTTTTGTTTCATTACAAACAAGCCATAAGTCTCTTTCTCATGAAAGAAAAGGAAGATAGAATTATTCGTGACTTGAAAAAGAGAACAGGCATTTCCAAACTGTATCTCCTTTTGTCAAAATACCTTGGAACCGGGAGAGGTGGAAAGTCACTCCATGTGTTAGTATCAGTATCGAGCACGAACGTTTTAGCTGTAGGCCCTCTGCACTGGGGACCATATTGACCCGTGACAACATAAATGTGTCGCCCATCAGTAACCATCCCTAAATGCGAATGTGCCATCTCTTTGGGCATATCAAACCGCCCTCCCCACGTATTATCTGTGAAATTGTATATATCAACATGCGAATGTACCTGTATATTAAAACACACAAAATGAAAAACCCATCTCAGTATAAATCATCACTGCTATACTGCTTCTCAATGATATCTCCATGGTACAAAGAATGAGTCTTACAAAATCAATGGTGCCATATCCAGCAAAAACGTACAGAAGATTTTTTATCTGTATTGCAGCTCCATCTAGACGAGGAACGGGTGCAGGTGCCATCTTCTCCCATTTCAATTCGGGGGCAGGCAAATCTTGAAATGTGGCCGAGAGTTTTCTCTCGTGAAGGCCATCACTCTTCTTCTTAGTAACTTTCTCCTGAAAGATGAAAAACAACTAAATTACCCTTTTTAACCAGAAACTGGTAGACATGAATGTTCCTCTCTTCTCTCAAACAAAAACTACTGTTCGTCGGGATCTTGTAATCCGACTCTGCCACACCCAAGAACATTATTCAGACACAGACACTGATACAAACAATGAGATTTGGTATACAATTGCATAGAGGATCTGAAATCCAAAAGTAAAATCGTCAACAAGCGAGAAATGCCTTAAGAAGTTAAAGATCTAACCACGAAATTGGGAATTATGGATAATTCCCAATTACGAAACAAACCAAAGCTCAAACCAGAAAATGATAACATACGAGCAGCGAAGCAAGCTTACACTAGCTTTAATGGTGGATTCTCCGGCGTCGGGTTTCTCCGGGACGACGACGGTAGACCAGTAGGAGGCGGAGGATGAGGAGAAGCGGTGAGAAGAAGCCCAAAGGAAGTCTCCGACGAGTCCGACGGCGAGAAGCGCGACGCACGAAACCAACACCACGCGACCATAACCTTGCTTCGCTGCTGGCCTCGCCATCCTCTCTCTCTCTCTCTAAATTCGCATATCTCTTTTAGGGTTTCTCTGATTCGAAGCAAATATGGGACCTTTGTGCTCAGGAGATATTGTCGAAGCACAAAGAAAATTTTTTTTTTGGAGCTTCGGAAATGAGAGAAGTGCACAGATCTTGATCTCTCAAGGAAGGGTGGAAAGCCAGAGAGAGCACAGCCGATTTCTTTTCTCTTGATTCCTGCTTCAATCATTATTTAATATCGTAATATTTATATGCACCTCTAATTTAGGAAGGACATGACAACGCAGACATTTGGCTACAACTCAAACGCAAACGCAAGCGCTGCGTTCCGAAATATAACTAATCTTAGGATATTGATGGGAATATATCAAAGATATAATACTATATCTATTTATTTGGGAAAATAGGTGCAATACCCTTTAACTGTTATTTAAACTTTTCATACTACCCTCCAAACAAAAAATCAAATAAAAAATACTATTTACTATGACAAAAGATAATAAAATCCTCATATATTAATGAAAAGATAAAAAACCCTCTATTTCTTTCAATTTAAAAAATTCAAAATTAAAAAAAAAGTTACGCAACTTTATTTTGATTTCTCTCTCTCTCCTAACTTTATTCTTCTTCCATTTTCTCTCTCTTCATAAATCTTTTTCTTCTCTCTCTCTTAACTCTCACGGTGTTAACTCTCTCACTCTCTTTCAAAACTTCTAACCTTTTGTGTTTTGTGCAATCTTTTACATTTTGTTCTATTTTCTGTTTAAATCTCCGGTTAGATTCAAGATCCGAAGAAGAAATGAAAACGTATGGAAATTGCAAGGTTAGACAAAAATATGGTAGGTTAAATTTTAATTTTTTTTAGATTTGTTGGATTTTGAAATTTGTTGTTGTTGAGTTGAAGTGTGGTTTCGAAATTTGACCGATAGAAATTTAGGGTTTTGGGTTTTTCAAATTTCATTTAGCCACTAAAAATTGAGGAGATAGAAGAAGCAATGACGACATCGAAGAAATGACAAGTTCATGTTAATCTTCGTCACATTTTTCGAGCAAAAGTAGTAACCTTATGGAGATTACGGAGTTAGATGAACACAAGGTAGGTTAAAATTCAATTTATTTACAAATTTGTTTGATTTTGAGATGTGTTCTTGTTGGGTTGAAGTGTGGGTTGGAGATTTGAATGATAAAGCATTAGGGTTTTGGGTTTTTTTTAAAAAAAATTTGGGGATTTCAAAATAGAATGTTGGTTTGTGAGGTTATGGATCAAATCGAGTGAAATGGTTGAATTTCGGTCAAATAAGACAGTCATATAGGTCACATCACGGTATGGGCCGTTGTTTGGATGTATAGATGACATGAGGATTCAAATGCTATGGTCTCACGGTCATTGTGACAAAGGTCACAATGTCACAGGATCATATAGGTACACCTATATCACAATATACAATAGTCACGGGTCATATGGTCATATGGTCACAAGGTCACATGATCACATAGTCACATGGTCACAATATCACACAGTCACAGTTACAAAGGTCACATGATCACAGAATCATATAGGTACGTCTATATCACAATATACAATAGTCACGAGTCACATGGTCACATGGTTACATGATCACATAGTTACATGGTCATATGGTCACAAGGTCACAAGGTCACATGGTCACATGGTCACAAGGTCACACGATTCCGATTGACTATATTGCATATAGAAAGGGGTGAACAAACACTTCTTTTTTATTTGGAAGGGTATTAGGGGAGTACAGATGAAATGGTTCAGTTTTGGATACGACATCTGAAAATGAACCTGGTCACATGGTCACATAGTTACACGGTCTCATAGTCACATAGTTTTATAATCATACAGTCACATGGTCACAGTGTCACACGATGATATCTAGAAAATATTATTGACATATATTATTTTATTTTGTAGCACATGGAAGAGACGATGTATGAACTCCACACCTGCATTATAAAACATCACGTGATCTACATAGGATGCAACTATTTGACTTGCGATACTATGTTCATAGAGCTGATCAACGCATAAGTAGAATCGAAAGACATGACAACAAATATTTCAGAAGACGAAAGTGTAAATTTTTAATTTATTTCACTAAATTTACTTTGTTTATTTTGTTTTGAATCCTAACTATGATATGTTTTTCTTTATTTGGTAGTAGACTAAATTATGAACTCTTGTATTTAGTTTTTTGTTTATTAGAAATCTGAATTTATTTATGTTTTATGTAAAATATGGATCTAAATTATTGTATGAAAAATTTTAAACTTAAATTGATAGAGAAAAAAAAATAAGGTTAAAATAAAATTACGTTTTTTTTCAATTGCGAAATGAGTTAAATTGTCAAAGTAGTTCCCACAAGAAATCTAGGTTGAATTGTCAAAGTGGTCCACACAATGGAATAAGAGAAAAATTATGGGTTGAAAATATTGTAGGTGAAAATTTGGGGTTAAAAATTGGGAGGGAAAAAATATAGGGTTAAGAGGGAAATTATATAGGGTTGACTATTCAAAATATGCACCATATTAAAATTAAAAAATGGAAATAATGATTGTGGACCCTACGAAACATAAAAATCTGGAGAAATCTGACTAGTTCTTTCTGTGGGTCCCACATCACATTTCGGTCACAATGGGTCAAGTCGGTCATAACCTTCGATTCATGCGATTTTTGTCAATTTAATTACTCTACAACGTCACACATATCTCATAAGTCTATTCTCTATTGTTTCGAACATTAGAATATGGTTTTTACGATTTTTATGTTTCAAAATTGTTCTTCCAAATGTGTTTCTATATATTTCATAGTGTTTTATGAGTGTTTTTGACAAATTTGGAATATTTCTTCTACAAACCCCTTAAAATATTTTGAAAATTTCTCACATACATTATATATTTGATGTATAGACCCTGATAAACCACTCTAAAGTTTAAAAATTAAATTTGGGTCTATATTTATCAACATATTTCGGTCACGGGTCACAGTCGGTCACAATGGTCACACAGTGTAAAATTGCACTTCGGTCACACGGTCACATGCTGGTCACAATGGGTCACAATGTTGGCTCATGTGAGTCAATTTATTTAGTGTACAACAGAGTCAGATATATGCGAAAATACAAGGTTAAAAGTACAATATTAATTAATATGGTACAGACACAATATTATCCAAATTTTTTAACACATTATTGTACAAACAATTACAAAATTATTAGGGTCTTTGGATATTATTGTACAAATGGTTTGTAACACGTTAGTATACAAATATACCACACAATTATTATAGAAATTCTGGTTATTTTTCACTCTAAATTAGTTGTTTTCTCTTCATAATATACATCATCTCGTTTTCCACTACGTTCAACAATACTTCCATAAGCAAAATTATAGGTTGTGACCGAAATATATTACAAACGAAGGAACTGCGGAAAGAACAACAACTAGAAAAAAAAAACTACAAAAACATCAATGTGCATGGAAAAAAATCGGAATTTCCACACTAGCTTACATATTTTTAGTTTTCTCATTGATTTTCCTTTGATTTCATCCGATTTCTGCAAATTTTTAGGACAAAATATCAAGATAAATAGGAGAGAGAAAATATAGAAGAGAGAGAAAGCTCAATCGAAAATAATGGCGGAAGGAGAGAGAAACGTGCAAAAAATGGGAGGAGAGAGAAACTTTAGAAAAAAGAGAAAATTTTATTTTTTTATTTTTTTAATTAAAAAATAAAAAATGGGAGGAGAGAGAAACTCCAGAAACAGGAGAAATTTTGTTTTTTATTTTTTAATTAAAAAATTATATCTTAAGGGTATTTTGGTAATATGTTATTGAAGAGGTTAGATTGGAAGTTCAAATTTTTTTTTAAAATGAAGAGGGTAGTAGAAGAGGGGATATTACAAATATACCTTTAAAACGTAACATGGACTTCAAGACATACCCTTGAACAGTTAGGATTTCAAAAAAAAATTGAAAAACGTTAAAAAGACAATCCTACCCTTTTAAAAACTACACGTGTAATAATCTAAATGAAGATGACAAAAGAGAGAGAGAGAAAGTGGGTAGTTGTCAAATAAAAAATTATTAAGTTAAAAAATACTGTTTAGTTTCTTCTTCCTCTCTTCTTCACGATTTTTCTCTGACGGACATTCTCCAGCCAATTTTATTGGCGATTTCTTGTGCGATTTTTTCTCTTCACTTCAAAATGGCTTCGTCTTCATCGTTTTCGGCTTCTATTTACGAAGATTTTCAAGTAAAGTTTTCATTATATCTCACCGAAAAAGTTAGTTTTTTTTAATTTGATATATGTGTACTTGGACAAATATTTACGGTAGACAAGATCTTAGTTGAATGAGTTATAGTATTCGAGTTTTACAGTTAAGGAAAATTAGGTTTTCGGTTTGAAATCAAGTCATATGAGAGTTTTGTCTCTATCAGTATCTTAATAGTCATACTCGTCACATTGGTCGTACTTGAAGGGTGTGACACGTTTGACTAGTCATATTAAATTAGGTACACCCGTCAATGGTCATACCAGTGAAGTCGTCACACCGTCACACTGGTCACACTGGTTTCTACCATAGTGGTCATACTCGTCACACTAGTCGCGCTTCAAGGGTGTGACGAGTTTGACTAGTTTTATCAAACTGGGTATATCTGTCACCGGTCATACTAGTGAAGTAGTCACACCGTCATACTAGTAAAACTAATGATGAAGTAATTTGTCATACTGGTCACACTGGCCGCATACAAAATGGTCATACTAGTCACACTGATTGCATTTGAAAGGTGTGACCAGTTTGACGAGTTTGACTAATATTATAAAACTGGTCAAACTGGTCATACCGGTCAAACAAAACTGATAATGAGTGTTAATTTTATTTTTGCAGGTTCCTTTTGTATATGATTTGAAAAACATTCATCAGACTCCCAAGATTACAATGAAGTGTTAACCATATGAAACCATTCGGTTAACTGAAAAAATCGAAAGAAGAATAATTGAAAAAATTGAAAGGGTTCTGAAGAAGACATGAATCACCGTTGAAGCAAAAGGTTGGTCTGAGATAAAGGGCAACAAAGAGGATGATGTTTCAACGGGTAGTTACTATAACACAAACACCGAGC